AAGGAAGCAAAAGACCTCCACACTGAAAACTACAGCACTCTCACAAGCGCAAGGTCCCGAGTTCGATCCCCAGTACCAACCAAAAAAAAAAAAAAAAAAAAGAACTTCCTTGCAGCTCCTCATGCCCAGTTATGTCTCTCCTGACCTCTGTCACCAGAAATTAGTTTTGCCTATTTGGAGACTAATGTACCTCTTTGTGTCTGGCTTCTTTCAGGCAGCATCATGTCTGTTGGATTGGTCTATGTTGTGTGTAGTAGTGGTTTGGTTTATTGGTTGGTTGTATTTTCATTGCTGCTTCGTGAATATCCATACTGTTGTATCTCTTCTACTGAGGATGACATTTGGATTGTTTCCTGTTTGTAACTATTATGAGTTACACTTCCAAGAACATTCTCTTGAAGCTTTTGATGGACAGAGATACTCATTTCTCAAGGGTGTATAGTGGGAAATGAAATGGCTGGTCCTGTTTGTATATTTAACTTTAGTAGTCACTGAGACATGGTTTTCCAAAGTGGTTGTACCAGTTACTGTATAATCCCACCAGTCGTGCATGCGAGTTCTAGTTGCTCCACCTCCACAATCAGAATGTTTGTATGGTAAAGCAGCTAATGCAAAATTCAGGGTTTTGGAAGAGTCTAGGAGAGGGCAAGCTGTATACTGTATAATGTGCTTTTCATCACAAAAACATTATTTTTGTCACATCAGTAGAATGTGGATTTGTACAATTGGAACTCTAACATTCTTTGGGAATCAAGTAGATTGTTATTAGATATACACATTAGCTGATGATCATTTGAGTTTTTTATTTTGTTCTCTGTTTAATCAATACTGACATCTTTATTCTTAAAAGTGTGTTTGTATATTGTTTAAAACACAAGAGCCCTCAAATGAATTAATACTGAATGCATCCCTGAAAATTGTAGGTTTAATATGTGTACTGGGATAGTGAGAAGAATTTCAGCCCAGTTCCTAATCAAAGCTGATACATACCATCCCCTTTTAAGCACTGAGGCGGATAAGCAGCTGTTAGGGCACTATAGCACTGTGTGGTTAGGCAAGGGTTAGGCTACAGTTAAAGCTGAGGGTTCCTTTTCTGCTTCTAGCTGGCCTTTAGTGCCACCTGCAGGCTCTGAGGGTACAAACATAGCTTGATGGCTACTACAGTGGTTTTTAAACTTAGAACATCAGTCATCTGAAAGGGGGGCCTCACCACAGAGGCTCAGAGTTAGTGTATCTGGGCTGGAGCCTGGCGATGTGCATTTAAAACAAGTTCCCAAGTGCAGCTGCAGCTAGACCCAATATCTCTCCTGGGAACTATAGCAAGGAGGACTAAACTCTGGAGGGTGAGACTGAGAAACAGAATTCCCAGCCTCAGAGTTAGCACTTTTTTGGAGGGCCAGAGTTTATATCTGGTCAGGAAGTGCACGCAAGTCAAGGGAATGAGGTCTGCCTTCACAGTGCATGCTGTTTTCCCAGCAGATGGGAAATTAAGGCCAGTTGTCCGTTCAAGAGCAAGAGACTATATAGTGTCAGCTGAATGAGCACCACAACTACAGTGAAGATGAGCCTTTAATAAAACAGATTATATAAAAATGTTCAAGAGTATTTGTATTCGATCTATATTCAGGGCATCTGTATTCAGTTTTAGGAAACTTCTGGGATCTGGAGAATTCACTCTGTGCTGAATAGTGAGCCCATTATCCAACAGGCCAACAGAATTTTAAACCAATTTATCCATGGGACAGTGGAAACCCACCTAACCCACCTGATGATACCTTTTCTAACATTTAAGTCATATTGTTTTCAAGTTGTACATCACAGCACTCTGTTATATCATTAAAGATATATTTAAAAGTTAGATTTAGATCACTTTGCCTCTAGTTTGCAGTTTTGTTTGGGGAAGCTGAATATCCCAGATAAACAAAAGCTGGAACTTGGAAGGGTTGCTTCTGAGGCACTCATTTTCATAGGCAGGTGGAGACAAAATGGCTTCGCATTTCAGCAAAGTAAGCACTCTTTTCAGTTAAGAATGGTCTGAAATGTTTCTCTAAAATGGCCTGGGAATACTAGGCTGTTTGCTATGTTGATTACTCCAAGAGGCCATTAGGATCTCTACTTTTTTTGGACTATGCTAGAAGTTTCCATTCCTTTTTGCTGCCCTAAAAGTAAATATTTTAGTAATTTTAAAATATTTTTCTCTAATCTAAGTTTTGCACACTTGTCAGTTCTACAAACTGGAATGTACCCAAGTGGGAGGGTCTGCTGGGAGCACCTAGAATGTAGGTTGTTTGCCTTGCTGTTGGGACTGAACCATTAATGGGAATACCTCCCAGGAAATGTTGGGAAACCTTGATGTTATGTGAGGAAAAGAAAAGAAGAACAGAAATTATTGTTACATCTATCCACATTTAGGCTGATTAAAATGTCCCTTTATCAGCCTCCTTATTAAAAACTGGGCTTCAAACTTCTTAGACAAGTTTTGCAATAAACTTATCCCCCTTTATTGTATAAAACTACATGATAAAAGGTATTTTATGAAAGGTTGTATTTGTTATCTTTTTCCTCACAGATGAGTGGTGGCCAGTTTTTAGGGGTAGAGGGGTAGGCTGTTGAGAGAGAAAAATCCCAAGCCTATGTATATTAGGCATTTCAAGTATAGTAAGAGCTTTTCAGCTTTTTAACATGATGGTCATAAATCATAATATCAACATTGCTTCTCCAATCAAAAAGCAATGATAGAAGTAAAAGCATTATATGGATTCATGCTTCAGAGCTATCATCTCATTAAAATATTTTAAAAATAAAATTAAAAATCATGATGGAAGAAATTTATATTAATGTTGTCACTTCTGACAATAGTCTCATAGCTTTTTATAAGTCTAAAAGAAACATGTTTTGTTTGGAGAGGGGAATAAAAGTGAAAGTATAAAGCGTGTGCCAAAGGAAGAACTACTTTTAGACTGCATTGACTTTTCAGTGACTTAAAAAAAAAACAAAAAAAACTTTTTTACTCTTACTGAAGGGTGAATATGTGGTTAATCTCAGAAGAAAAGTTGAAGCAGGATTTTTGCCCTTTGTCAAAACTGTTGGTGTATATATACATGCATATGTGATGTTTGTGTTTAGAAATATGTTTTGTGGGCTGAAAGCTCCCTTACTTTCTGAAGAGCATATCAGAAGGGAGGAAGCTGGCCTTCACTTGGCATGTGGTAGAGAACCTTGCCAATCCAAATGCAGACTTGAGATAGCCTCTGAGTGATTCAGCTGAGCCTTCTGGAAAAGATGCCATTGACTCCATGGCTCCTGCAGATAGTAGGGATGCAGGCAGTTTTTCAGTTGTCCAGCATAGAGCATTTTTAACATTTTCCACATGAATAGTGGGTCTCACTTTGTCTTTAGAAAATATTTTTTGATGGGGCCTGGCTGACCTTTATGGTCATTGGAGCTGCTTCCCTGGCTACCTGAATACATTCTGAAAGAATGGACCTGGTCAGTTGTCTGTTAGTATAATCAGGCTGTTTCCTAAGCCTGATCTTGAAAGACCTGGAGTAAGTAAAAACTTGTGACTCTCACAAATTTATCTTCCAGGGCAGAAAAACTCATGAAAGGGAAGTAAGCCATGTTCATAATTTCAAATTTGTATAGCAGAATAGAAACTGCATGAATTCTGCTATATCCTCTGAGCTTTAACTATGGCATTAAAAAACAAACAACTAATCAGTGCTCTCCAAAGCCTGGCTATAATGTAACACCTAAAAACTAGAGTCATGCTATTTATTAGCTCTGCGTCCTTGGACAATTGCTTCCTTACTGCAAAGCCTCTACTCTTCATCT